CGCAACCTATGCAGTGTGATCAGTTCATCTATCGAGGGTGAGTTATTTCTCCCGAATACCATTCGACGTACTTCAGAATTGCTGATCCAGTGTTCCCACCAGATTCGGACAATGCTCCGAAGACATCGATGGCCAAACACTGAAAGTCTTTTGACGTCCTCAGCGCGCAGCGGCCAGGTTTCTGATCCATATAGTAATATGGAGCGCACCGCAGCATTGTAAACTCGACCCTTGACAGAGAAACTGATGTCACGCCTAGGCCACAGGTGACGTAGGTCCGCAAAAGCTGCTCTGGCCTTCCCAATCCGGATGGAAATATCATCTTTTGCGAAACCACCGGGACCGATACAGCTGCCAAGGTAAACAAATTTATCTACTACCTCAATCGGTTCATCCGCAAGCATGAGGCTAGGGTTCGAGCCCACCCAGTCTTGCAGTAGCACTTTACACTTTGCAGGTGTGAAGCGCATACCAAACCGCGAGGCCGAATTATTTATATTATTTAGTATTGTTTGCAATGCCACGGGGTCAGATCCTAGAAGAGCTATGTCGTCTGCGTAGGTATCAGGTCAAAACCAAACTCGTACGCGAATGAGAGTATTTGTCGGAAACCTTTGAGTCGACAGCCCTTAACTGGACAAAGTTCTATTCCGTAAAGTGGCAAAAGGGAGCACAGACTCGGTAATCATCCACAAGTGGGTGGCCGGGCCACACACCTTCCGAAAGAAGACAAGGCAGTTAGTGTCCAAAGCGCTCAAACACCGCACATCTACCGTTAGGCAATGGCTTGATTGAACAGCACCCCCAAGTCAAGGGTGCGTCATACGCTGTCCACTGGAACAACTCCAAAATGAAGACGACGGTGTTGATACCGCAACGCCAGTAACTGCACAACAGGATGTCGTCGACCATCGATGTCGCTACGCAAGGTCATGATTGGAGAAAGCAACCCGAATGACCCAGTCAGCCGGTTCTTCCATAGTTTCTTTGGTTGTTCACCTTCCGGTGGAGTGAAAATGGCTCTGCAGGGATGCTGGGGTATTTCAGGTAGAGGGTCTATCACGCAGGAACTACGTAGTGTGATCAGTCCGTTTATCGCTGGAGAGCTTCTCCTTCCAGATGTCATCCAACATACTTCAGATTTACTGATATGATGTCCTTCACAATCCCGCGGGAGACGGATGGTCAAACAAAGTTTTTCACACATCTGCGTGTGGAGACCATGCTTCCTCAGAGCAGCACGGATTGTGCAGACAGTAGATACTCTACCTTTGACATAAAAACTGATACCAGAGCGAAAAGCGCTGGATTTTGGCAAACGTCGTTCTTCCAACATACAGTGGCCCATATAAGTGAATTTGTCCACAAGAGACCGTTCATAAACTAGGCGAGTTTGTTTAGGTGACCCTCCGAAATCACCACCAATTTCAGATAAGTAAAAATGTAGGCACCCGAAACGAATTTGCCGGTTAATGGTAGCTGAGTGACTGAACACCTGTACACATAGCAAACCACGGTAAGTCGGCGCAGAGTTAGAAAAGCACAAATGTCGTCTACTTGCACAAAGAACGACAAGGTATCTGTAACCGCAGATGAAGTCGAGTTGAGCAAGTTGAGTAAGTACTGAGAAAACACTTACCCATGGATGATGTGAAACGAGCAGCGATCCTTCTCGACGTGGCTGGCGCGCAGGAAGTGTTGGAGGTGTGGGTTGGACGAGTCCAATGTGGAGAACAGACCGATGATTGCCTCCTGTGTGTCTTGTATTTGTTTTAACGCCTGAAACCCACGGCGGCATAAGTCAGATACAGATATAATTCCTCATAAAGACAATATGTGACGGCTAGCCCAAGAGATTTAACCCCAAACGTAGGGGGTAACCTAAATAAAGAGATTTTGCAAACCGAAATTCGCATCAAAATAAGACGAAAAACAGTGTCACGGGACCGAACCAAGAACAATCCGGTCCTCTACATCGGTTTGGCAACACATCCCTAGTTCACCTTATCGAAAAGCAATCTCTGGCACAAGTAATGTAAAAACTCGCCATTCAAGAAGCCAGATAGGGACCGAAGTTCATTACTGGTTAACTGTCTTTGTACTAAGCAGCTCATTTAGGCTAGCATCTAGGAACGTCCGTCGTCCGGCTGTAGTACGCAGATTATCGTGAACACTTCGCAGCTTTAATAAAAGGTAAGCTTTTTATATTTCATCTATGTGAAGCTGTCCAGCCAGCGTTGATTTACCCAAGTTCCCCTCACATACGCGAATAAAGCTTGACAACACGACACAACACAAAGAAAGCTGAGAACCACGACGAGTAACCACGCCACAGTGAAGCAATGCCGGTTCTTTGCCGTGATCATGTGACCGTCCCATGCAGCGGCTTCAACTCTGACCTTTAAAAGTTATCGCGTAGTAGAGGCACAGCCCCAGTTTCGCTACCCTTGTCAGCCGTTCAATATCCCTAATGTGCTTACACCACGGAATAAGCAAAGGCCACAAACCAACACCGCCCAAAGACAAGTAATTGATTGTGCATGATCGCCATTCTTTTAATGCATCATTGAGTCTGAACGACCGACGTGAAACTTGATAAAAATAAAAATAATCGTTCAACTGTAACACCCTTTCGATGCCTAGCAACCATGCTACCCGAGGGAAGCATGAAAGTTGAGATAATGGCAGGTTGCCCAGGGTTGGGTTTGAACCACGGACATTCTGACCAGTGAATTCGCACCTTAAGCTCATCTCGAGCTCTCCGGATGTGAAACCGGGTCTGAATCAGCTGCTGACAATCAGAACGTTTTGTCAAAACAGTCGCCGATTCTCGCAAAGGCCCTGATAAGTACTCAGTCATAGGCTTATCGTTGACGTGGGGTTTCAGCGAGGATACAGCTGGATACAAAAAAGCACATTCAAATAAGCACTTTCGTCTCCATCGGGACCCAGTAGACAGGTACAGAAGGACCGAACAAATGGTTGTGAGTCTCAGGTTATTACTGTCTGGACCACTCATCCAACGATACAGGCGTAAAACTTGGTATGAGCCAGCTTACTGGCTCAAAGTAGTCACTGATCCCTACAGGAGACCTTGTGTATCATATCTAAACTAAAAGAACCACCCGATTTAGCCTCCAACCTATCTAATTGTGCTCATATCATCTACAGTGATGTTCCAGCCATTCACTCGTTGTAAAAGAGTACCTAGGGTGTCATAAAAACTGTCTTTCGCAGATTTAAAGTCACAGTTCGTTGAGGCATAGCTAGACGCAACAAACAGGTAGCGACGGATTTTCATTTCAGAACTATTTCGCACATGTTGTCAAAAGTATCAAGCGCGAGTAAGTACCAATGGAACTTCGGTCATGCAGAGATAAGAGTGCTCGTTGGCTTTACACAATAAAAACCCTGGCATACTCAACCGCAACAGCTCCGGTGCCATCAGAGACACGCAGTGAGAAATGAAAAGCGGATGAAGGGGTAGCCAGTCTAATTGTAATAGCCAATTTGTAATGGATAGTAATACGCCGCTGCCAATTCAATGTGCCATCAGAGACACCTGAGTAGGCCGGGTGTGTGACACTGCACAGGTGAACGCACAGTTGTTGCTAAACTTGACGCAAGGTGGGCAAAGTCGTCATACAGAGGGCACAACCAATAATTTCTAGTAGAGCAAAAGGAATACTTGGAACACCGTACAGCACAATTAAAATTGCAACGCCATTGTAGGAAGCGCGTAGGATGGGTCCCACGCAGAGAGAACATTGTCAGGCTTGTCTTTAGAATGGGGGAATATTAGAGCAACAATAGTACTGGCCAGAAACTCACATTTGATGCTGTCATATTTGGAGCATGTACAATATTCACACTGGAGTTCAAGCTGTTGTTAACAAATTCGGCGAAAGCTTCTGGTGTGCGCTGCCCTCGATACTCGGTTTTTGATGTAATGCCATATTTAAGGACCTTGATCGTTGGATATTTACGGATCTTCTCATCGGAACAGAGGTCGACTGGAGGGGAAAGAAACGGGAAAGCAGAAAACCAGGCTAACTAATGTGCGTCAAACTTCACAGCAGATAGATTGAAAACAAATTGTAGTTGGGTACGTCTACAAGAAGGATTTGGTGTGCTAAGCTAGGCCTGCGTACGGTTGTTGCATTCTACTCAGGAACAAGCAACAAAGTAGTCCGAACCCAGAATTTTTAGCGAAAGCACGTACGTGTCAAAAGGGGGTTTTTGATAATTTTCAGGAGGAACGTTACTCGCAGAAAGTTGCGTGTTTGAGAACTACACAAGACATGGAACATGTCAATGCAAACGGATGAACAAAACTCGTTAAACATGAGAAGCACTGTATAGCTGTTTCATCCACATTGAGAATCACCAGCAGTGCACGAAACTCCGGACCTGACGCACTCAAATTTCTAGCCAGGAGGTCCCAAGTTCGAGACTTCCTAATGGAGTTTCGTGAGATGCGCACTGCTGATGATTCCCAGCAAGGTTGAAACAGCTGTACAAAGCTTTTTAGCTCTTCAGTATAAACTGGCTTCACTTACAGGACGAAATCATTAAAATTCCAGAACTTCCTCTGAGTACTGCTAAACAGAGCCTTGTAATGCGTCAACAGTCAAAGCCTATCCCATTTTGACATAATTTCCAATACACACTTGAAATCAGGTGTCTACCGCCCCTTCATGTCAAATCCAAGCACCTGGTGACACTAACCATACGGAATAATTATCTGACGGGAATGTGCAAAAATATGCATCAGAAAGACAAGTCACGACGAAATTGACGTGTGCAAGCCTAAAATCACTCACGGGGTCAGTCCTGCTCTCAAGCAGACAATTACAAACTAGTGGGGCAAATATAGATACTACTCCCAGTTGCTAGAATCACACAACTCAAAGGTGTGAACAACAAACCATTATGTCGATTGTGACGGACCTAAATAGGAAGTTGTTAAAGCATATTCTACTTGTTAATTATGGTTGAGATTGGTCTATAGCTAGTGATAGTAGTGCGCATGAAGAGTCACCTGACTTTCTCCGGTGTACAGTAGAGTGATTGCTCACGAAGATGGACGTGCATTCATTAGATTCATAATGAGAGGGCTACACACAATCAAACGTTTAAAATCACGGTTCCAAGATGAGGTTAAATGTCTCCGATTGACCTTACAGTGAATGACCCCAGCAAACTGACTGAGTTGTTTGAAAAAACGCAAGAATACGAGAACCGTGACATTCTCCAAGTCACTTGGTCATTTATAAGTGGGAACGTATAGAACTTGTCCAAAAACAGATGCGCCCTGAAAAATGGTAGTGGGTTTGCCTGGTCAATGGCCTAGACAACGAAATTACAGGACCAAACTGACTAACTCGGGTAAAAATCGTGGCCGTCTACACAGAACCTGCTACGAACGGTTCCGTATGCTATGAACCGAGTAACACTAGGCGTGAAAATACGTAAGCACAGGATTGTAGGACATCAGCTGGAAGAAAATATATGATCCATTTGGGTGAAAACTCATCCCAATAGTGCACTCGCATTGCCTAATACCATTGCATTTATTTTTGTAAAAAAAAACTATTCAATACGGCCCACGATATGAAAGACTATTCCTATTTCGCTTTGAAAAAAATCGTTCAGCTGTAGCACCCTTTCGGGGCCTAACTGCCGTGCCACCCGAAGGTTGCACGAGGGCTGGGATACTGCCAGGTTGCCCAAGCCTAGACAGGGGAAGGCGAGAGGCAGAGGTCGGGTTCCCAGGGGAAGTCGAGAGGCAGAGGTCGGGTTCCAGCCACGGACCTTCCGTGCAGTAAATTCGCGCCCTAACCACTTGGACCGTCTCGTCCCCCGGCGCGTTGCTTGGTTGCTGGTCTGTTCACCGAGCTCCGGAGCACGATTTCAAACTTCCTATCACTAATTGAGATTACACTCACTGAAGATACCCTTTCGACTGGTGATGGAACGTTTGCAATCCAATCACCAAGCTGAGTGAAAGTTGGCTGTGTTAATAATATTCTTCAGAGTATTTTTAGATCTACGTCCAGTACCACCTAAACTTTCACCCAAAAATGCACCTCAATCCAATGTGCAAGTCGATGCAGCATACAAAGCACAGGAAGGGATCCAAAACAGAATCAACAGTATGGCTGTTGGTTCCACAAACAGATATCAGAAATCCCGTCTACAAGTTGTGCTAACGAATGATTCAAGGTGGAAGTGGCGGGAGTTGGAATCGGCCCATCTTCTGAGACGATGTACAAGGGCACAAGAGTCGTACTTGGCATACGGAAACAACCAGTGGTGTAGACTGCCTTGTGTCTGTGAAACCGCTTCGTGTTCTATGGCTCAATTCCCACGCAAAGCCTCCAATACTTAGCTGACCACAACAATCAGGCGGACAAAGACTAGGACTCAATTTAAGCTCGAGATAGCTCAGTAGTTAAGGCGAAAACTTACTGACCGGGGGGTCCGTTGTTCACACCCAACCTTGGCATCGTGACTACTGCTGTTTAGGTTTAGGCAACCTGGCAGTATCTCTAGCCACCCAATGTCACCTGATTTGGGTGGAATGGCAGCTAGGCACTGAAAAGTTGCCACAGCTAAGAGATCAGTATTCATTATTAGGACTTGATATCCTCAGCGGAGGCATCCGGTGAGTATATGAAAACAGGTGACATCACGTTTAAGGACGAAATTTTTTTCTACTTTTCTCTTACCACTAAGCGAGTTACACCTGAACGTATTCTCGAACAAAACAACAAGCAGTGATGAATGATCATAGCATTTTTGTGAAACTTCATCAGTTCAGACAAGTGCGAACGATCGACCACCAGTCAGACAAGGGTTTGGGGTTGAGTGAACCGAAAACAGGTCCGTTAGTTGGAGTTGTTACCCTTAAGGCGACATCCACGTTTACAGCAAATAGTAATAGCCGTTAGACACTGGGTAGCTTGAAAAATAGAGTAGCTCGTACATTCTGGCGTACTTTACTAGAATACACCGGAATCGCTGGTGCTCCCTTTAGGACCCAAGGGAATGAGCTCAGCATACCGCAAGCTACTCACATTCGGGGTCACATCTTGCGTTAAGTCCATTCTTTCCACTTTTTGTTGGACCTAGGCAACACGACCTTCACTCAATTCACGCGTATTCTGAATCTTAGCCACCGGTGTATGTAGTGGAAATGGAGACACAGAACCCCTTAAAGCAATAACCTGAAGCTCAGCTATGTAAAATGCGGATGTCTTTTGAATTCAAACAAATGAAGCGATTTGAAGGTTACCTACATAAACATGGAAGACAGAAACTTAGAAGCACTTACCGGCCTCCTCACAATTCACTTGTGCGAATGCGACCTCCCCGTT